GGGTCGAGCACCGACCGATGAACCAGGAGGTCACGGTTCCATTCCCGGTCGGGACACATGCCCGGGTTGTGGGCTCGATCCCCAGTGTGGAACATGCAAGAGGCAGCCAATCCATGATTCTCTCTCATCATTGATGCTTCTCTCTCTCCCTCTCCCTTCCTCTCTGAAATCAATAATAATAATTAAAAAACACACATAAAAGACAAAACAAAAACCAAAAAATCCCGAAAACCTGAGCTTGAACTTGCCTCGGGCCGTGTTCCGTTAAAACCCAAACAGAGCCTCCTGGGAAGAAACAATGGTCAGAGGAGAAATGAGAGGCTCGTCTGAAGCCACAACTGTGAGCCCCGCTGGGACCCCGACTTCTTTGCTCGCGTCGGAAGCTGTCTGAGGAGTTTCGGGGGGCCCGCGGTGGGAAGGTACCCACATGACTGAACTGAGTTACAGGGAAAAGACCCGGGGAGATCTGGGGCCCAGAGCTCCGCACAGAGGGCACCGTGGACCCCAGAGTGGCCATGGCATCGAGTTCCTGCGTTAACGGGGAGCACAGCCTGCCCCCTGCTGCCCAATTTAGTAACTTTGGGGTCACTGATTCCTGTCGCGGGGACTATGGTGGAGACATGGAGAGAAATCATCTGGTGATTTCGTGAGCAGCCGATACCAACGAGGGTGGTCACAGCAGGGAAGGGGACCCCAGGGGGATGAAGCCTGAGGACTCCCCGGACACAGCTGAGGAAGACGGGGCGAGGCTGGGCTGTGGTGAGGAAGGGGTGCAGTGTGGGTCACCGTGGCCCCCACTTCTATCCACAGACGTTGAGGCCGCGTGACAGTGGCTCTAGTACAGTGATGGTGAACCTATGACACGCGTGTCAGAGGTGACACGCCAACTCATTTTTTTTGGTTGATTTTTCTTTGTTAAATGGTATTTAAATATATAAAATAAATATCAAAAATAGAAGTCTTTGTTTTACTATGGTTGCAAATATCAAAAAATTTCTCTATGTGACATGGCACCAGAGTTAAGTTAGGGTTTTTCGAAATGCTGACACGCTGAGCTCAAAAGGTTCGCCGTCACAGGCCTAGTAGTTTAAACGAACCCTTGGAAAGTCAAGTTAGAAGCGGACGTCCCCTAGCTCGCGTGGGAAATGTCAGATTGTCGGAGGAATTTTAAACCCACACACCCAGCCGTGCCCACCAAGGGAATCATGCAAGTTCCTGAAGGTGCCTGGAGAGGAAACCATTTTCGTTTGGATCAGGACACATCAGCAATCTAACGTACTGATATCATTGTTACAGGACTTTTCCCTTAAAATATATTAACCCAGAGTCACGGAGTAAGAGGGGGCTTGGCTGTGTGGCCAGCAGAATTTGCTTTGTAAAAAGATGTAGAATTACAGGGGAAAAAACAACTTGGGTTTCTTCAAATGAAACACGATAAGACAGTGTCGCGACCCCTTTGGCAGTTGAACGACCCTTTCACAGGGGTCGCCTAAGACCATCCTGCATATCAGATATTTACATGACGATTCATCACAGTAGCAACATGACAGTGATGAAGTAGCAACGAAAATAATGTTATGGTTGGGTCACAGCATGAGGGACTGTGTTTAAAGGGCCAGAAGGTTGAGAAGCGCTGTGATAAGATGAAAAGGCACTGAGAAAATTTCCACTCCAATACTTTTTCACGTTATCTGCCAAGCAAGAGACACGTGATGGGTGAGTGGCCCGCACACACCCAACACTTTCTGTGGAAGAGAACACTTCACAATAGTAACAGGAAGCGTGGACCACGCTTGCAGTCCACGGGGCAGGTACCTGACGGAGTAGCTGTCTTTAGCCGCCTTAATTGTTTGGATCAGGGAGGCAATCACCGAGTGGATTTCCACATCAATCTGATTGAATTCATCGAAACAAAACCACGCGCCTGACTGAACTAGTCCAAAGAAGAATCTTCCCATTATCTTAAAAAAAAAAAAAGATTATTGACAATTACTATGCAGGTGAACATTTCACTAGGATATTCATTTTTTTAAAAATATATTTTGATTTTTTACAGAGAGGAAGGGAGAAGGATAGAGAGTTAGAAACATCGATGAGAGAGAAACATCGATCAGCTGCCTCCTGCACGCCCCCGACTGGGGATGTGCCCGCAACCCAGGTACATGCCCTTGACCAGAATGGAACCTGGGACCTTTCAGTCCACAGACCGACGCTCTATCCACTGAGCCAAACCGGTTAGGGCTACATAGAAATTTTTTGGTCTTTGCCACCATAGTAAAACGAAGACTTATACTTTTGATATTTATTTTATATATTTAAATGCCGTGAGACAAAGAAAATCTAGCAAAAAAATGAGTTCGCTTGTCACCTCTCACTGCTACAAACTTAATAAGGATCTTACCATTGGAACTTCACTCTTTTTTAAATTAAAAGTCAATCCTTTATTTTATTTTTTTTAATATATTTTGATTTTTTACAGAGAGGAAGGGAGAAGGATAGAGAGTTAGAAACATCGATGAGAGAGAAACATCGATCAGCTGCCTCCTGCACACTCCCTGCTGGGGATGTGCCCGCAACCAAGGTTGACCGGAATCGAACCTGGGACCCTTCAGTCCACAGACCGTCGCTCTATCCACTGAGCCAAACCGGTCAGGGCTAGGATATTCATTTTTGCATCTTCTTCCCATTCACGCAAACCAAGCAAACACCATCTGCGAGTCCTCCCCGATTCAGGCTTTTTGGGTGAAGTCTATGTCTGCCAACTGTTGGGCAAGTCAACTGCCCCGTCTCTGAAGCCTAAACACACAGTAGCCAACTCTGATGCTGACCGGGACCCTTGAGGCGGGGCCACGGCGGCCCTCACTGCACAGCCCGGGCTCCCAGGCCCCCCTAGGCCAGTGATGGCGAACCTTTTGAGCTCGGCGTGTCTCTGGTGCCGTGTCACACATAGAAATTTTTTTTAATATGTTTTATTGATTTTTTACAGAGAGGAAGGGAGAGGGATAGAGAGTTAGAAACATAGATGAGAGAGAAACATCGATCAGCTGCCTCCTGCACGCCCCCGACTGGGGATGTGCCCACACCCCAGGTACATGCCCTTGACCAGAATGGAACCTGGGACCTTTCAGTCCACAGACCGACGCTCTATCCACTGAGCCAAACCGGTTAGGGCTACATAGAAATTTTTTGGTCTTTGCCACCATAGTAAAACGAAGACTTATACTTTTGATATTTATTTTATATATTTAAATGCCATTGAACAAAGAAAAATCAACCAAAAAAATGAGTTGGCGTGTCACCTGTGACACGCATGTCATAGGTTCGCCATCACTGTTCCAGACAGAGCCCTGCTCCCCTGTAAGGTCTTTGGGGCAGTTTTCCTGCAGACGGTGGCTGAGTGCCTGAAGGAAGGGGCTCCTTTTCCTCGGTTGGGACAAGACTCAGGGCTAAGGGTGGGCGGCTGCTGGGGGCGGGGGGCCAGTGAACAGGCCAGAGTGGAGGGGCCCAGCTAAAGCGCCCGCTGCAACTCAGCTTGTGCTGCCTGTGGTGGCGCCAGCCCAGGGCGGCCAGGTGGCCGGTGTTCTGGGATCGACATCTATTGATCTGTACGACATCTATTGATCTGTACGACATCTATTGATCTGTAAGTGCTGGCAGCTAAACAAGACAAGACAGAACCACCTTCAGACCAAACAGCCTCTGGGGCCCTTGGGGAGCTTCTGCCAGGTGTTAGAGAGAGGGAGGGAAAGGGGGGGAGGGGGGAAGAGGGGATGGGGGAGGCTGAGGGAGCGGCTCAGGCCCAGGACACCGAAGTCGCTCCCCTCCTCCCACTGCAGGAATCAGAACTGTCAATGCCTGATACCGGGTTTATCATGGGGGCGGGGGGTGGCGGATATTAATTTTCATTCTTAAAACGACTGCATGAAACTCTTATTTATCTTGATTACTAAATTCCTTGGCTCCCCCTTAAGCTTTGCTCAGCAGCTCACCCCTCCTAGTCCTCTGGGCCCCGCTGGAAGGTGCGCTCTACTTGGTACGAGTCTCAATAATCACTCAATCAGTTTATTTACTGATTTTTTTTTATGAGCTGAGTGAGCACAGATTGGAAATGCAGGATCTCAGAGGTGACGTGCTTTGAACTGCAAATAAATGACAGCAATCAAACGCAAAAGGCTGGGACCTGGCATACCGCGATGAAATGTTTTACAGCTTCGAGTAAATTTGCGACAGGCACGTAAACTTTTAATAAATACCCCGGATTCTGAGATATGTCTTAGATACTGTGCAAGCAAAACAAACGGGCTGATAGAAAGTTGTAATCATCCATATAAACTCTGATTCAAAGTTTTGTGTTAATTAGAATTGCCTCATTGTTCTTAATGATTTACCTTTTCAGTAAGTTAATGTATAGGATTAGTACACATAAAAGAAATCTATATGAGTAGATCAGTACTCTTAATTTGTTGTATTTATATTTATATTCCATATTAGATTTTGTTTGGAAATATCTCCATCAAAAAGTTTGAAAAACACAATCTTAAGAAGTAGTTCAGTTGAATACAGGCAAACTGTATAATGTTTTAAGTTTACACTGCATTCTAAGTTTCTATTCTATTAGCTTAAATTATTAATAGCATATATAGTTCTATTAATACTTAATACATCTCTAAGACATTTTTCTTGTTCTTTCAATCCCCAATGAATTATTTCTTTCATTTGCATAATACTTTTACCTGAGTATGTAAGGTTTACCTTATAATCCAGATCCTCAAAGCAGTTGAAGACGACACAGTGTTTACCTAAGGACTGCGAAACAAAAATATTATTTTAATGAATTTCTTACATGATGACACAAAATAACTAAGGTTAAAACTGACAGAGTAATGAATGCCTTCTTTTGCAAAAACTTTTGCAATTAAAGATTACACACCAAATTTTAAAACTCGCAAAACTGAAGTGAGCAGAGATGCTCATATGCCATTACCAGTTCAACTAGCACGTGGAACATTAAGGTCATTTTTAAACACACCAACAAATATAAACTAAGAAAACAGCATTCCAGTGACATAACCGGCTTTATCAGGTGCTTCTGGCTCTTGTGCCTGCGCGTCTCTGTCTCTCTCTCTCTCTCTCTCTCTCTCTCTCTCGCGCTCACACACACACACACCCATTAATCACCAAGACTAGGCAAAAATCTGTGTACGGGGCTCAAAAAGAATGGATCGCCCCTACAGGAAGGGAAAGGGGGACACAACCACCATTCCCATGTCAGCCGGTTGGTCCAACGGCTTTCCAAGCAGATGCAACGCGCACGTGGACTCAGTGAGCCCCCAGCTCCCAACACGGAACAGCCGCTCGGAAATGAACCGACCGGTGCGTGGTCTGAATGACCAAAGGGGCTCGTTAAACGGTGAAGAACCTCTTCACACAGATGGTGTCCCTGTCGGGTGCCGTTCAAGTTTAGGACTAAAAGGAAGCTGCTATTCTGGATGCAGAACCACTTACTTTGGCCAGGTCTTTGACGCTCTCGGTTTTTCCGGTGCCGTTGGGGCCCGAAGGACAGCCCCCCATGTTCAGGTGCAGCGCCCCGGTGAGAGTGAGCCAGCACCTGTTGGTGAGAGGCGTGATGACCAGCCGGGGCGTGCAGCCCAAGTACTCGTAGCCGTACGTGAACCTGGCATCGCCTTGGGAGACGTAGCACAACATCTGTTTTTCATTCCATTTATACTGCAGATGTCTGAAAACAACATTTCCAAAGCTCACGTTATCGGGGCAAAACTGCTTTTCATTTGTGTGTGTGTGTGTGTGTGTTTCCAAATACGGAAACATAATAAAGATTCAAAATAAAATATTGGCTGAAAACAGAAATCAAAACAGTAAAACAAATGAAAAGCGATGGAAAATTCATAATGACTGTATCAGCCACTGAAATGAGAGAGAGCTCAGAAGACTATACAAAGGGGTGTTCGTCCCTGGAGGGAAAATGGCCCTGTTGCCTCATGCTGCCCGGTGTGATGTCAGATAGACGGAGGATTTATAGAAGCATCAGCCCTATGGAGCTTATTATGGTTTCAAATGAGAATGTGGCTCAAGACATTGTGAATTGTCAGTATCATCCTTATGTGAACGTAGTTGAGAGAAATGCCATCTGTCCTCATTATTTTTAAAAATTGTATTTTGCCCGGCCGGCGTGGCTCAGTGGTTGAGCGTCAACCTATGAACCAGGAGGTCATGGTTCGATTCCCGGTCAGGGCACATGCCCAGGTTGCAGGTTCAAGCCTCAGTGTGGGGCGTGCAGGAGGCAGCCGATCAATGATTCTCTCTCATCACTGATGTGTCTCTCTCCCTCTCCCCCTCTCCCTGCCGCTCTGACATCAATAACAATATATTTGCCTTTGCTTTTGGAGTCAGATCGCCAAGGCTGGTGTCAAGAAGCTTACCACCCATGTTTTCTTCTAGGGATTTTATGGTTTCAAGTCTTTCGTTCATTTTGCATTAATTCTTGTTTGTAAGACAGCGGTCCGTTTCGTTCTTTGCATATGGCCTTTCCGTTTTCCCAACACCATTTATTGCAGAGACTATCTTTTTTCCATGAATTATTGGCTCTCTTGTTGTAGATTGTCCATGTGTGTAGGTTTATTTCTGGACTCGTTATTCTGTCCCATTGGTCTACGTGTCTGTTTTTATGCCAAGAGCATACTGTTCTGATTACGACAGCTTTGTAATGTAGTTTGAAATCAGAACTGTGATGCCTCCAACTTTGTGCTTTTTTCTTAAAACAGGTTTGGCTACTGGTGGGCTTTTGTGGTTCCATACAAGTTTCAGGATTTCTGCGCCCACTCTGCCCCCCGTTCCCATTTCTGTGAAAAATACCATTGGAATTTTGATAGGGATGGAATTGCATTTATAGATTGCTGTGGGTAGTATGGACATTTTAGCAATATGGATTCTTCCAGAAAATTGAAATTCAAGTTTGACAAAGTTTGGGGTACAGAGTTAATTTACCAAGCGGTGTGTATGTGAGAAATGACTTCGTGTAGAGTTCCAGTTTAGATCTACCTACCTTGTCCACTCAAAATCCTCGGCGTTGAAGATGTTTTTAAGCAGTAAATCGCTCACTATGTCTTTGCAGTGAACGTAGAGCGTGATCAATGCCCCCAGGACCACTTTCGTCCGAGCGTTGCTCGTGTCCAGCACCACCAGCCCTGCGATCTGCTCTAAGTGTTGTATCAGATCCGCGTGGGCTTTTTCCAGCCCTTCTCTCGGATCAGAACTCGTGAAACTTTTGGTGCAATCGTTGTAAAACATGATCTGGCTCTGAAAAGGTAAAATGTCAACATGATGACAGAAGCATCAATTCTATAAATTAAAACACGTGTGTTCACGGCGCCTATGGGTGGCGTGTGTGTGTATGTATGAGTGCTTTTGCATGTGAGTAAAAGAGAGAGCTTACACCTTTGTATGTATGTGAGAGCTAAATATTGAGTTTTAACGCTTGTGTGTGGGGGGAGGGGGACTCAGTCATTAATAAATGGAAGTATACTTATCACCAATATTTATACTTTCTAAATGTATCCTTAACCACTAGGCTAAGTAATAACGACAGGAATTGTCCAAGATGAAACTAGTGGTGTTTCCTCAGTGGAACGCAGAAGTCCTATTTCTATCACACGTCGTCTGTAATCACTGACTCTTCCCATACACGCTACAGCTATTTTACGGCGGCTACTAGGTTAATGTCAGATTGACCCGGGAGTTAATGGCGGGGGATATGTCAAGAGGCTGGTAAGTTACTTGAGCGGATCCAATGCAATCCATGTATCCTTAAAATTGGAGACCTTTATCTGCCTGTTGGTGGAGGGGATCGGACTACAGAGGAATGGTCAGAGACATGCAGCATCGCTAGCCTTGAAAATGAAGGCCGGGGCCCCAGGCAGGAAGGCAGGTGGCCTCCGAAGCTGGAAAAGACAAGAAGTGGGGCTCCCCTGGGCCTCCAGAGAGGACCGCAGCCCTGCTGACACCCCAATCGGAGCCCAGGGAGACGTGTTGTCCTTCTAAAACTGTCAGATAATGAAGGGTGTTGTTTTAAGCAACTAAGTTTGCAGTGACTTTTTAATGACAGCGGTAGAAAACAGAGGCAGCACAAGAGCGTGGTGTCCCTAGGAAGATAATGCATGGCCTATTTTTATTCAAGATTTTACTGTGAGCCCTGGCTGGTTTGGTTCAGTGGATAGAGCATCAGCCTGCAGACTGAAGGGTCCCAGGTTCAATTCCAGTCAAGGGCACATGCCTGGGTTGTGGGTTCGATCCCCAGCAGGAGGCGTGCAGGAGGCAGCCAATCAATGATTCTCTCTCATCACTGATGTTTCTTTCTCCCTCTCCCCCTCTCTCTGAAATCAATAAAAAATATATTAAAAAAAGATTTTACTGTGAAAGTTTAAACTGGAAAATTTAAAGGGATTATAAGATGAATTCCAAAACGCCCACCAGCTGCATTCTACAGTTAACCGCTTGCTGTGCGGGTGTTTGCTTTATCACCTATCTGTCCATCCATCTGTATATCTTATTTCAGATGCATTTCAAGGTCAGTGATGTACACGCGTGCCCTGCCTGATGGCCCATCCCCACATCTGTGCTTCCCTGGCAGCGTGGCCCCAGGCCCTCCTTGAAGATGGATGCAGCCCTGACTCACCACGGTGAGCACCACTTGTCCTGGGTGGGACACCACCCAGCTGGAAAACTGCTGGCGGCTCCATTCCTCGATCCCTTCCTTCACAAATCTGTAACAGAAAAATGTATTTCCATTACTTACACCTGGTCATTGATTGCGGCCAGTTAGTGAGCAAATAGGACAAGATCACAGGGGGCCTTTCCTCCAGGAACTCCGATTTTTTTTTGTTTTGTTTTGTTCCAATTTTAGGTATATGTATGGGTCCAAATAGCACCCATAGAGCCTTGATTCGTGCCTACCTCATATCCCTTAAATTCCTCGTTAGCATCATCTGCACGTTTCCAATGGGGACAAACCCAAAGCCCCATTGGATATCACGCCGTACGATGGCAGACATGAGTCCAAGTGTGAGGGTGATCGAAATAAATTTAAAGAAATGGCAGGGCACAGCACATTGAAAGGAAGAGAGTTTAAAGGGACCCTCGGGGGTGAGGGCAGGGGTAGGGGAACCCGCAGGGATGGTGGACGCCGGGTCTAGCAGCAGGGGCAGTGTTACCACCCTCAGGCCCAAAGGGGTCAGGGGACGAAGTCGCTGGGACCTGATGAGGGCTGGAGACACCAGAGAGAGGCACCACCTGTCCCAAGCTGTGGCTTTTGGTAAAGGAACATAGATTTTGCCCAAACTAGGGAGGCACAAGGGAGCCTCATGTTTGCCCCACGCAAGTGGACGCACAAGGAGAGGAATCCAGGCCGTACCACCCAAGGGCACGAGCGGCCCAAGTACACACAAGACCGAGCAGGGGCAGAGAGTGACCTTGGGGCGTCCCGACCGACCAGAACGGACAGCAAACACTTTGATATGAATAAAAGTAAAACCAAGTAAAAGCAAAAAACCAAAATCCATTGTTACACTTGATTCATGGAACAACAACACGAGACAGAAATGTTCAAAATAACATTGTGATACAGATGTCTTCTGATCATGGAAACAGCTGTGAGAAGCTATTAAACAAGTAGCATTTAATAAAAAATATTAACTGGTGCCAACCCCGATGTGGTGACTGAAGGTACACTCTACTGAGAAGGTTTGCATGTAGCAGCACAGCAAAATATATAATAGGTGTTAGAAAGAAAAAGAAACTGGCAAATGCACGGAAAAAGTAGGACATGATTGCATAGTTGCCTAAGAAAGTAAGTAGACCAAAAAGTTGCTGAAACCGGTTTGGCTCAGTGGATAGAGCATCGGCCTGCGGACTGAAAGGTCTCAGGTTCGATTCTGGTCAAGGGCATGTACCTGGGTTGCAGGCACATCCCCAGTGGGAGATGTGCAGGAGGCAGCTGATGGATGTTTCTCTCTCATTGATGTTTCTGACTCTCTATCCCTCTCCCTTCCTCTCTATGAAAAATCAATAAAATATATATTTTTTAAAAAAGTGAATATCAAGAAAAGTTCACCCTAAGGAAATGTATGCATGTAATTCCTGATATCCTGATAGCCACATATTAAAGATGAAACTGCATTTGAATTCCTCAGTAGATTCACAGAAGTCATTTGAGGCAGCTGAACACCTTTAATTATTAGAGTCGGTGATAAGGCGCAATTTCCAGAAACCCGAGCATCATAACTGAAGGCGGATCGCGAGCAGCTTTCCCAATAAAACTACAAGCAACAGCTCCTGCTCACTGGCATCTGTGCTTTTCAACACTGAACAAAATTTGTCACCCTAGACAACATGGAAAGGAAAGGACATTTAAAAAAACAACTATAAACCAAGAGAGAGAACGATCCTCATTAGCGAATGATAAGATTGTCTAACCAGCCATTGAAGATCTGCATGTCTCTCAAATGCCCAGATGCATTGTGGGGGTTCCGGCCTACAGAAAGAAGCATGCCCCCCTCCCTCATTTGGAATGAGACCTGGTCCTCTCACATCCCCAGGGGTCAGAAGTGGAGCAAAGGAAAGCCCAGTGGTCATTTCTGCAGGTAAATGGTAACCTGCTCTGCTCCGGAAAGCCTGTGGTGGTGTTAGCGCAATATTACTAAATATCGATATTAACACCCTGTGGACGGATCACGAGAATTCTCGCTCCACCGTACACAGTGTTTTACAAAGTCTCACACTTTAAAAGGATATTAGCTTGTAAGAGCACGTCATTCATAACTTCAAAATGCAACGGGCATGTAATTGTAAAGCGTGCCTTTAGCATTTATGTAAAACGTTTTTTGACCTCGTTCAATAGAGACTTATCGGGCCACTGGGTAAAGCCAGCAATGAAACTACCGGTCCGCAACGTGTTAAAACTTGAGAACCAGTGGCTTTCCCATAACCAACAGTAGAGAGCTAGAAATGTAGGCAGACTGTTCTAGTCCAATTTAGATGCGCGCACTGAGGCTCTGCCTTTATTCTACACCAGGGGTCTTCAAACTACGGCCCGCGGGCCACATGCAAATACAAATATTGTATTTGTTCCCGTTTTTTTGTTTTTTTCCACTTCAAAATAAGATATGTGCAGTGTGCAGAGGAATTTGTTCATAGTTTTTTTTTAAACTATAGTCCGGCCCTCCAACGGTCTGAGGGACAGTGAACTGGCCCCCTGTTTAAAAAGTTTGAGGACCCCTGTTCTACACAGATTGCAATGACAGATTAAACTATAGAAAGGAGAACCTTTAAAAAGACTAAACCAAGTAGCCCAGCTGGTGTGGCTCAGTGGTTTAGCGTCGACCCATGAACCAGGAGGTGATGGTTCGATTCCCGATCAGGGCACATGCTGGGTTACAGGCTTAATCCTCAGTGTGTATGTGTGTGTGTGTGTGTGTGTGTGTGTGTGTGTCAGGGTGGGGGGGAAGTATGTAGGAGGCAGCTGGTCAGTGATTCTCTCTCATCATTGATGTTTCTCTCTCTCTCCCTCTCCCTTCCTCTCTCTGAAATTAGTAATAAAAACATATTTTAAAAAGACTAAACCAAGTAAACGATGCCAGGGAGCGGAAATGGGACAGAGACGCCCAGAAGTGAAGGGGCTGTTCCCGAGGCCCCCTGGGCACCAGGTCTCAGGGAAGCAGCCAATCCGGCCAGAGTTCAACCCTTAAGAATCTCAAAGTACACAAATACCGATGCCGTCTGGTCACACCCTCAAGCTGACGCTTATCAACATGACCCAATAGATTTCACTTCATGCATTTCTCTGTCTAGTTCCCACTTAGATTAGTAGATAATTAACCAAGTCTATACACACACACACACACACACACACACATATATATATACACACTAGAGGCCCGGTGCACGAATTCGTGCACAGGTGGGGTTCCTTGGCCTGGCCAGCAATCGGGGCTGATTGGGGCCATCTCACCCAGTCCTGATTGGGGCCGATGGGGGCCAGTGGCCAGGGGCCAGGGGAGGGACGGCAGGAGGTTAGCTGACTGTGGGAAGTTGGCTGTGGGAGCACACTCCTGCGTTGAGCGGCTGCCCCCTGGTGGTCAGGGCACATCATAATTATCGGCTGGTCATCCAGTTGTAACAGTCACTTAGGCTTTTATATATATAGATGTGACACTAGATATCACCAAAGGGATGAATGTTAGATACAGAAGGGAAGAAACCTTAGAGGACTCCAATTTTTGGAATATAAGAGAAGAGGAAGAACTCATCAAGGAGACTGGTAAGTGGCTTCAAAGGTAAAAGGAAAACCTGAGTATGCGGTGTCCCTGGAGCCAGGTAAACAGAACTATCAAAGAGTATAGAATGATCCACTGCACTAAATGCTATTGATAGCATCAAATAAAATAAAGAAGAAATTGACCATTGATAGGATTGTTTACTGCCTTAGCCGGTTTGGATCAGTGGATAGAGCATTGGCAGACTGGGCCAGGGCAACGGAAGGAGAATCAGAAGGGGCAGAACCAACAACCCCAAGCGAGTTTCCTTCCGTCCTGTATTCAACTAATAAAACCTTGCTTGGCTTTCAGGATCCTGTTACTCCATATAGACATGGAAGGGTAAAATTCCAGACAAGCATATTATCTTTGAAGAAATAGTTTGCTGCCCGGCCAGCGTGGCTCAGTGGTTAAGCACTGACCTATGGACCATGAGGTCATGATTTAATTCCCGGTCAGGGCCCATGCCTGGGTTGCGGGCTCAGTCCCCAGTGTGGGGCATGCAGCCTGTATTCAACTAATCAAACCTCGCGTTGGCTTTCAGGATCCTGTTACTCCATATCGACATGGAAGGGTAAAATTCCAGACAAGCAATTATCTTTGAAGAAATAGTTTTTGCTGCCTGGCCAGCGTGGCTCAGTGGTTGAGCATTGACCTATGAACCAGGAGGTCACAGTTTGGTTCCCGGTCAGCGCACAGGCCGGGGCTGTGGGTTCGATCCCCAGGAGGGAGCCGATCAATGGTTTTTCTCATCGTTGATGTTTCTCTCTCTCTCCACCTCCCTTCCTCTTTCTGTAATCAATAAAAAGTAAGTATGTATGTATGTATTTTATTTTTTTTATTATATCTTTATTGATTTCAGAGAAAAAGGGAAAGGGAAAGAAACATCAATGATGAGAGAGAATCATTGATTGGCTGCCTCCTGCACATCCTCTATTGGGGATCAAGCCTGCAACCCAGGCATGTGCCCTGGACTGGAATCGAACCTGGGATCCTTCAGTCTGCAGGCTGATGCTCTATCCACTGAGCCAGACCAATGAGGGCAGTATGTATTTTTTTTAAAAGAAGGAGTTTGCTTAGCCAGCTTCTACGATCAATCTGAAATCGCCAAGTGGAGGTTGTGCAACATAAAGGTCGTACTTGGGCAGCAACAGGGCCTCCCCTTCATTGGAGATGAGCATTATCACGGTGGGGGGGCCGATCTCCTGCTTCCAGATCAGCAGCTGCTTGATGTTCTCAAAGCATTTCACCAGGTGGGGCTGTGGACCAGAAACGAGCGAGCGTCAGCGCACCCCCACCCCCCATGGCTTTTGGGGATAACGCTGCGGAGCAGAGGACAGTGGTCTCACCTGGACGGACTCGGGGTCGCTGCTCCCCGCCAGGATCGCGAGAAGTTCCTCGTTGCTAAGGAAGTAGAATCTTGGGAAAATCATCCTTTTAACTTCAAGGTAGTCCTGTCCAGAACCAAAAGAAGAGCAGTTCCGAATATGTGTCATCAGGATATGACTCCCGTTGGGCCTCCCTGGGCACACAAGAGCCACAATGTTAAAACTGCAGGGGCCCTGGCCAGTGTGGCTCAGTGGATAGAACGTCGGCCTGCGGACTGAAGGGTCCCGGGTTTGATTCCGGTCAAGGGCATGTATCCTCAGTTGCAGGCTCCTCCCCGGCCATGGCCCTGTTTGGGGCCCGTGCAGGTAGGCACTTAAAAATGTGAGACTTTGCTGAGGGTCATTTAGATTGGTCCATGCACGTCTCTTCCCTTTCTCTAGACCAGTGATGGCGAACCTATGAAGCTCGGCCTGTCAGCATTTTGAAAAACCCTAACTTAACTCTGGTACCATGTCACATATAGAAATTTTTTGATATTTGCAACCATAGTAAAACAAAGACTTATATTTTTGATATTTATTTTATATATTTAAATGCCATTTAACAAAGAAAAATCAACCAAAAAAATGAGTTCGCGTGTCACCTCTGGACACCAGCCGGGGCTCTCTATAGTGTTTGCATGAGCCCGACAGATGGTGAGCGTCGGAAATACCGTTGGGAAGCAAGAGCAACCAAGCAAACCTGCCCGGGGGTTGGACCGCGTGGTGTGTTGCAGGGCAGGGTGTGAGCTGAACGGTTCCGCACACGGGGACCTCGGCGGCGTTACCTCCAGGCTTTTCTTTATACGTTCGAGGGAGGCGTTACAGTTCCTCAGGATCCCCAGGACGCCCGAGGAGATGGCTATTCCCAACGCGTTCAGCTTGTTCTGGATTTTTAACATGATCTCCTTCCACGTGTCCATCACCTGAGAGAAGAGTTCTGATTCTGCTGGGAGCTGCCTGCAGAAAGAAGATCGGGGATCGTTTCATTTTTGGAAGAAATGATCATTTTTACAGAGAGGAAGGGAGAGGGAGAGGGAGTTAGAAACATCGATCAGCTGCCTCCTGCACGCCCCCTACTGGGGATGTGCCCGCAACCCAGGTACATGCCCTTGACCGGAATCGAACCTGGGACCCTTGAGTCCACAGGCCGACGCTCTATCCACTGAGCCAAACCGGTCAGGGCAAGAAATGATCATGAAAATCTGCGTGCTCCGTGCATCTGCCACCCAATAGTGTTCAATTTACAAAATGTTTTGCTCTGTCATATTTTTGCTGATCGAGCATTAACTAAAGTTTGTGTGTGTTTTTTTAGTGTCTGTTGTGTACTAGTGGCGTACATGGTAGGAAATACTACCATACATTGGCTATCCAGCCATCATTTAACAAGATCAGGCCTAACGAGGGGTATAAACTTGAGATATAAAAAAGTCCTACATAGAGTGTGCGGAAGTGATTTCTGTCTGAGGGCTTGGAATAAAACAAAGGGCTACTAAAATTCGGCCCTGGCCGGTTTGGCTCAGTGGATAGTGCGTCGGCCCATCATCTTTCTCCGTGAGTCGAAGGCGGGTCTGTTCCAGACCCACTTTTTCTGTTCTTTACAGCCATGGCAAGGGGGCCTTTAGGCAGAAGCCCTGTTTCCAGCCTGCTAGCCAATCCTGTAAAGAGCAATTTGGTGATATTCTGAAATCCCTTACCTAGGAGCCTTCCCTCTCATTAAGAAACGTTTCGTAAAAGGTAGCATTGAGGTTTGCATTTCAGGCACTAGGTTGTCGTGCCCATAAAGGACATACCCCTTCGTTATGTGGTTTCACCTCCTCAGAGCCCTTTGAGAATAAGTGTAGATTAACAGAGTCTCAAGCAGTGATGGCGAGCCTGTGACACGCGTGTCAGAGGTAACACGCAAACTCATTTTTTTGGTTGATTTTTCTTTGTTAAATGGCATTTAAATATATGAAATAAATATCAAAAATGCAAGTCTTTGTTTTACTATGGTTGCAAGGATCAAAAAATTTCTATATGTGATACGGCACCAGGGTTAAGTTAGGGTTTTTCAAAATGCTGACACGCCGAGCTCAAAAGGTTCGCCGTCACTGGTCTAAAGCATTCATATGGTAAGAACTATATGCATACAACAAAAAGGGATACTGTTTCCTACGAAGTAATGCATCTAAACATTTCTCTTTTGTTAACCCCTAGGAGCTCCCCTATGCATCTAAAATAAAGCTCAAAATACTTAACCTGATATTCAAGGTTTTCTATCATCTGCTCTAATATGCCTTATAAACATACCCCTCATCACTTTCTACCTTATTCCAGAATGGCCCCTAGACTAGCTTATGTGATGTCCACTGTTTAAATTCTGCCTCGATAATACATATGTCTCAACTTAAGCACTCTTAAGACCAATCAGCTACAAAGAGACCAGTTAATTCCAATGCTAGGGATAGAAAGAGATGGTCAAATTTTCAACATTGTCTACGTCAGTGGTTCTCAACGTTGGCTGCACATTAGCATCACCTGGGAATCTTTTTAAAATCCTCATTTCTGGGCCTCATCCTCTGGAAGTTCTGTTTCTTTGTTACTAATGTTGTGGCCTCACCCCATAACAAAGAAACAGAATTTCTGGAGGATGAGGCCCAGAAATCAGGATTTTAAAAAGATTCCCAGGTGAGTCTAATGTGCAGCCACGGTTGAGAACCACTGGTCTAGATCCTTTATTTTTTCACATTGTCCAGAGTAAGAAATTATCATTTATGCATGAATGCTACTAAAAACACGCTTACTGTTTACATCAAAACCACACTAACAGCCCGGCCAGTGTGGCTCAGTGGTTGGGCGTCGACCTATAAACCTGGAGGTCACTGTTCAATTCCTGGTCAGGGCACATGCCCAGGTTGCAGGTTCGATCCCCAGTGTGGGGTGTGCAGGAGGCAGCCGATCAACGATTCCTCCTCATCACTGATGTTCCTCTCTCTCTCTTCCTCTCCCTTCCTCTCTGAAATCAATAAAAATGTTTTTGAAAGAACCACACTAATAAAAGAGACACATATTGTCGCTTGGAGATTATAACGATGTATCTGACATTTCTTCCCTGTCCTTAATAGCTCCCTATCAATAACTGAGAAATAAGGCTTTAAAAAATGTTATTTTCAATTTTTTATGAAGAAATGGTTTCTCAAGAATCACAGAGAATAAATAACCCACGATGATTTTTTTTGTACCTGTATGTGGCATATTTCAAGTTTTTACCTTTTTACCTCCAAAGAATTGAAGACGGGTTCAAGGTAAAGCCAAGATCTTTGACAGTTCACCCACTCCTCCAGGGTGTGCGAGAAGAGAGTCAACTTTTGATCCCATTTTTCCACAAGACCCTACAAGGACA